GAAGACGCTCCTAGTCATCTACGATGCTCCACCGAGAATAAGAGACACGTGAGTGCACGTGCTCCACCTCGAGAGGGAGTGTCCTAGCGCCAACCTACACCGACTCTACCCGGTGAAATCCCGCTAGAAAACGGAAGAAACCATCGGAGAACAAGAACCGACGGTGCTCCACAACTCGGAGACTCGTCGATCGGAAAACCAGTCCGAAGACAACCAAGAAAGACGAGGAACAACCACCTTACCGACCTCGACTCACTTACCTTGAGCCGCCGTTGAGTCCGAGCTTCACCGACGCCGGGAAGCTCCGTCGTTGTCATCGCCTTCTTCTCTCCTCCGGTCTCTCTCTCGAACCTTCTGCCTCGAGCCACACGCCACGCTCCGCGTAATGTCGAGTATTAGGGTTCATTAACCCGTTGCTCAAAACGCCACAGTTTCGGCCATTGGGCCGAGTTCTTTTTCCACCAAATTGGGCCGCTGGGCCGAGCGGGCCCAACAATCTCCACCTTGGTGGAGAAAGGAACTTGCAAGGAAATAATAACAAATAAAACACTAGTGGGATTCGCCGTTTCCAGCACCGATCGACTTTCGTCGATCCCTCGACTTTCGTCGGAATTTAAAGCAAACTTACCTTACTTACCTGACTTACCTGTCCCGGAATTAGTCATGTGCCACCTTGAACCCGATGAAGCTCCCGTCGATGACTCCTCAATGCCTTGTCGCCTTATCCGCCACCGATCAACTTTATCCAAACCTGAAACACTTGGTAAACGTGTTAGAACGTTCACCCCGATAAGACTCGAACCGTAGTCCTATCCCGCGTTGCTCGACCGGCAAACGCTACCCTCGGTTGTATGACTCCCTAGACCGTCTAACTAAAACCAATCTGATCTTACCTAATACCGGACCCAATTGACCTATACGGTCTAATTCTAGCCTAATTGGACGAACAGACCCTAACATTAGACCTAAACCAGTCTAAACCGGCCTTAATTCACCTCCAATCAGACCCTATTGGTCTGAACCGAACAATTCTAGCCCTTCCCAGACAAATTAGACCCTAACCGAGACTTAACCCAGCCTAAACTAGTCTGAATTGCTCTAAACCGGACTCAATTGACCTAAACCGGACCTGAATTGACCTAAACCAGACTCAATAGTCGTAAACCGGACCTAGATTGACCTGAACCGGTCTAAACCGGTCCAATTGACCCCAAACCGGACCTGAACCGGTCTGATTTGACCTAAACCGGTCAACTGTTGACCAAATTGGTCAATGGATTGATCGAACCGGAGTGAACCGGTCTGAACCGGTCGGGACCGGGTCTGAGCCGGACTAAACCGGCCGTAATCCGGTCTGAGACGACGAAACCGGGTCAAACCCGATCTGACCGCCGATAACCGGACTTGGATCGAATCGAACCAGGTTCGATTGACCCAAACCGGGTTTAACCGAAATTGGATCGATTAAACCGGTGTAAACCGGGTTTAATCCGAAATCCTAATTTCGGAAACCCTAGCCGCCGAGTCACCCGAGTTGACTCGGCCGTTGACTCACCCGATTCCTCCACTCAACCCTAACTCAGACGAGTCGGGACCGAGTTTCGCCGGAATCGGGCATTCCTCCGCCGAGTTTACCGAGTTTCCTTTAAAACTCGGACTCAAATCGGAGAAATCGCGGAAATTAAAGAAAACCGAGTCAAGAGACTCACCTGGTTTACCTGTTCCGAAACAGGTCTTGGCCGAGTCGACTTCCCAGAGGCTTCAGCTCGACGGACTTGTCACCGGTGACGCCTCAGATTGCTAGATCTGCTTCTCACAGCCGCCGATGAACCTCTCCGGTTGACTGAAACACTCAACACACGGATCAAAACGTTCATGCACAGACTCGACTCGAAACCAAGAAACCAGAAACCCTAACTTACCTCGCCTGACCGGCGATGCTCCCTGGATCGTAACCGGAGCTCTGATACCACTTTGTGAAGTCGGTATCGAGTTCTCACGGCCACTCCGACGCTCGTTCGTGCAAGAAGAAGAAACGACACCGGAGTTTTAACGAGTTCGGTTACCGAGTTTCCTCGGGCCTACATCTCGGCCGGACGGTGCCGGCGAATCCACTAGAAGACGGAAGAAACCATCGGAGAACAAGAACCGACGGTGCTCCACAACTCGGAGACTCGTCGATCGGAAAACCAGTCCGAAGACAACCAAGAAAGACGAGGAACAACCACCTTACCGACCTCGACTCACTTACCTTGAGCCGCCGTTGAGTCCGAGCTTCACCGACGCCGGGAAGCTCCGTCGTTGTCATCGCCTTCTTCTCTCCTCCGGTCTCTCTCTCGAACCTTCTGCCTCGAGCCACACGCCACGCTCCGCGTAATGTCGAGTATTAGGGTTCATTAACCCGTTGCTCAAAACGCCACAGTTTCGGCCATTGGGCCGAGTTCTTTTTCCACCAAATTGGGCCGCTGGGCCGAGCGGGCCCAACATATATTAATACAACACAAGAATAACAAGTTCAAACTCGTGTTTTATAATTCAAACCACTTTTTTTGGTAAAGTATGAATTCAGACCACTTAGTGTTTCTTTTTGTCTTTTTCCATTTTGAAAGTGGCTTTAATTGATTTGTTTTAAATAGAGTGGATTTTAATGTCAACGACAAACTATAGTTGACAGTTGACACGGTACTCACAAAAAAATCAACAAGTGGGGCTCCTTCACATTATTGTTTTTTATTTATTTTAAATATTAGGTGGATCGCATTTTCTTGTAAATTCTTCTAGAATGCATTGTCTGTTTTTTTATTTAAATTTATTTTAGTTTTGCCTTCTTTTTCAATTTTTAGACGATGGGTTCTAAAAGTTTCTCTACATACAAATTTCAAGAAAAAAAAATTGTTTTACCCATAATATCATTTTGATTAATATGACAATATTAGCATTATTTAAATCTTCTTTTGGTTAGTATGACAATGTTAACTTTCTACGAAGGGTGAAATATTTTTAATATATATATATATATATATGAGATCTCGGGTGCATTAATTTCAAGAAAAGAATCACTTGATAAAAACATCAACTATACTTACAAAAAATGCGAACATTAACTCCTAGAATTAGGTGTTATACAACTACACGAAGTTGGAATCCGTGGTTTAGCTATTATACTCTGTTTCAAATTGAAAAAGATCTAAGTAGAGGGAAATAAGCAAAGAAAGAATTACAATCAAATAAATAAAGAAACAAAATTTAGAATATATATATATATATATATATATATATATATATATTTGCAATTTTTTTATTATACCCAAGTAATTTAATAAGATATAGACATTTTAATCTCCAAGCTATAAATCACGCCCCAAGATTATCGATATTTTTCTTGAGAAAATTCCACTTGTCTGATTTCATGTGATCGATCTTGGGACAGTGAAATTAGAAGTTCTCTTTGTGGAAATCAAACTTAGTTGATGTTCGGTGAGAGAAATCCAAAGCCAGTTGTCTAAGCTCCTTTGTCAGCCCTGGGGCCCCACAGTAGAATACTCCTGCAAAACATTCAACATCCATCAATTCTTTTTTCCCTGAAATCATATCTTATATTATCCATAATATAAGATAAAGGATGATTTTATATAAAACTCTATATTTGTCAACATCTAGGCCTTGTCATTAGATATATTATCCCGTCTTATAAGATAATAAAGGGATAAATGGATACAAATTAATTTCCCACTTTAGCTTAAAAACTTAGGACCATATTGATTCATGCACTTCTAATATAGTATTGATACTATTCTATTTAAAACTATGTTCGATTCTGCTAATAATCTATACCATTAATGAGCTATTAATGTGAGCATGAAATTATGGAACTTGTAACGAATATGAGAGAGAGAGAGAGAGAGAGAGAGAGAGAGAGAGAGAGAGAGAGAGAGAGAGAGAGAGAGAGAGAGAGAGAGAGAAACTTACCGACTCGGCTATCGGCATGATGAAGAGCGATCTTCTTGTACACTTGTCGCCAATTGGGCTTAGCGAAATGGGTCTTGACACGTGTCCCCGACACGACGTCGACTCCATTCTTGGCGTGTTGCAGAGACTGCAGCATGGCGATCAAAGCCGATCTGGCGTCGCCTTCCTCGTAAACGCTCGTGCAATAGTTATGGAGCTCGATCACTCCTTCCTCGTCCATTTCCGCAACTTCGTCCATTATCCCTTTGAACCACTCGAACGACCCTTGTTCCCTCGTCACCCAGTAGAAGTACGCCTTCCTTGTCCTAAACCCTTTCTCCTTGTCGGCCTTGCTGTTCTTGCTGTTGTTTTGATTAGATCCGTTTTCGATGTGATCCATCATCTCGTCTTCCTCCGTCGATGATGTTTTCATGTTGTTGATGATGTCCTTGACAATGCTGATCATGGGCGTCGCCCCGATTCCTAGCCCGACAAGAAGTACAACGTCGTACTTCTTGTAGTCTTGTGCCGGCGCTCCGTACGGACCGTCGATCAAGATCTTCGGGAATGCCACATTGCTCGTCCCTTCCGCTCGTAATAATCCGCTCTTTCCCGCCGGAGGAGGTTGACAAACCTGAATATATATACGTACGTATATTGATTACATGATATGAAACATTCGGAAGAGAATAGGTACAAGACCAGGTCTCACACAGAATGGTTATCGTAAATCTTTCACAAACCTCGGCGAAAACGGTCCTGAGCTGACGGGTCCAGTCACCGAGCGTACGGATATGGACGCTGAGGTAATTGTCTCCGGGTGCGGACGTGATCGAGAACGGATGCCATTCGAATGGAGAAACCGCCCTACAGTTCACGAACATGTACTGCCCGCTCTTGTACTTGAACCCGTTCGGCTTTGTCATGTGAAGTGCAAGTACATTTCCGGGGTATACTGCAACCTGTCATTATTGTCCATATATATATAGTTGTGTCCATATATATCATATGATCGATACAAAAAGAAGACGAAAATGTAAGGTTTGAGAAATTCGGATCTCGGGTTCGAACCTTGAGAATCTTAACCGGTTTGACGCTCGATCTAAACGCACGGATCAGCCTCTCGCACGAATACAAGACGATCGGTATAGCCAAGTACATCCATGTCTGCATATCCACAATCAAAATTTCAAGATTTCACAAAAAAAAACATAAATATAAATATTATTAAACAAGTATAACCAAAAACCGAACTTACCGTTTTCTGGTACCAAGTCTTGGTAAGATAAAGCTTGATACCGTGGACGATGAGAAGAGCGTAGACGATGACGAACAGATGGTGAGAGTACCAAAAGGCGTTAAAGCCGGTTAGTTTCTTGAGAAAACTCGGTAAATTGAGCTTGTTTCGACGGAACCAAGGCGTGGCCAATGTGAAGGCTATGGCCATAAGGACGACCATTAGAATTCCCGTCACGCCTTCCACTTCCTTCACGAAATGCCAGTAGCTGTCCGGCTGCTCCCCAAAGTACTTTATCATCGGCTCATATGTCTCTTCGTCGGCGCTCAATAGCCGCGGAAAATCGCACGCCAGATGCGTGGCTGCGTGAAGGATCACTCCCACAACTATCCCTCCCGCGATAGTCTGAAACCAAATACGAATCGAAATTATATTTTCGAAAAACAAAGTTAGTATCACAACAATGTTGTTTTTCATAAGGGTAACACCATAATTGTGTATATATATATACGAGACTTAACCTAGATTTTTCTAGCTACTAAATCTACATAATGCAATGTACATTACGGAGAGCATATACATACATACATACATACATACATACATACATACATACATACATACATACATACATACATACATACATACATACATACATACATACATACATACATACATACATACATACATACATACATACATACATACATACATACATACATATCGCTTCTATTACCCTAAACAATATTGCTTTTTGTAAGAGTAACATAGTAGATAAAGGATTTAACCTAGGTTTTTTAGGTAGTATATAGTATGCAAAAAACCATTCTTCTATCCATTTTTTACTAAAATGTAACATCAATATGAACAAATAAACACACATATATGTATATAGATAGATAGATACCTTGTGGAAGTTGAGATTGTCGTCAAAGGGGACAACGACTCCAAGCCTGGTCTTGTTCCTGAGCCAAGTGATGGTGTTTCGGCAAACGGGCAACAATATAAGAGCCATGTTGAACTTGAGGGTCTCGGCCCCTCCCTTGGCGACGCAGACGCAGTACCCCATGACGTCGTAAGCCTCTTTGTTCCGGTACTGAACGAATTTGTAGGCGAAGAGTCCGCAGCAGATGGCGAGCCACAGGGCCACGATCCAAACCCTTTGCCAGTTGTCCAAGAAGAAGTATTTGGCCTTTTCCGACCACCTGACAAGAGGGTTGTTCTCTTGCGTCGGTTTGAGTTTCTGACTCAGCATTTGGCTGAGTACTCTGCTGTCGCTTAGCCGGACCGACTGGTTCGGTGCTTGCAACAGAAGTGTTTCCAGGTTCTCGATCTGTTTTGTTTCAATGGCCAAAAGTCGCGTATTTCATTATGACAACGTCGGCCGAAAATAATTACAAATCGTTCAAGTGTTACAAAATATATATGGTTCGACTTATATCCAAAACTATAGTAATAATATGGAAATTCTAATACTACTCATGGGCGGACCCAATTTGACATGAATGGGGGAGCATATGCCCCATTTGTTTGATTAAAAAAATTCATAAAATTTATCATATTTTAACCAAATTTTATATATGTCCCATTAGAAATTTGTTTGTTACGTTATAAAATTAACTTTACCCCAATTATATTTTTTTCTAGATCCGCTAATAGTTACTGGGATCAATTATTACTAGCATGTGGGATATATAGTTTTTTTAATTTTATTTTGAATATTTCTGGTTTGATTTATAGTTAGCATTTGTTACGGTTAAGTTTAATTTTTTTTTCTTTGTTTCTTTTTTTGTAGTTAGGGATTTTTTTTCTTCATTTGAATAAATATAGCAAACAAGAAAAAAATAATACTCTAGAACTATAATAAAATCCTAACCAAATCAAATCGAAATTATCTATTAAACCGAACTAAAAATAAACTAAATCAACATGACCGATCATACATTCTAATAATTTCTTTTTTTTTCATAGTAGTATTTTTTTTGTGAAATAATTCTAAGAAATATTATTCTGTTTGGACTGTTTGGTGGATCGGTACTGGATTTTCTAGAGATGATGTAATGATTATAATTAATGGTGGAAAATGGACCGTACCATTATGTAACCAGCGTCGTCGGGGTCCAGCTCCTCCATTATTAAAGCTGCATACTCCTTGGCCTGCTTTTGTATATTGGAAAGCTTGTTTGCCGAAGCACTTAGGCTAATAATCTGTAATCAATTAAACGCACCATAACGTTACTTTTTTTCAATTAAAAAAATAATAATATATACATTTGGTTAACTCCTATCAATATCCATTCTCGTGTTCACATCTAATTAATTAAATCGTCTCTAACCTGTTAAGGTCAGTGGAATCTCGCGTGGTCCAATTTGTCAAAAATTAAAAAGTAACCAACCAAAATACTATATTATATATAATATGATATATATTGCTATAATAAAATTAAATAAAAATAGAAGAAAGATCATTATTTAGAGGTGTGTGGTATGGTTCGCACCTCCGCGACTTCTTCTTCCGTTATCCTCCCATCGGCGTCTTCATCCACCCTGACCACATCATGACGTCACTCATTACAACTTCCGCGTTAGGTGCGACGTCATATATTTTCTAAAAAATAACTAAAACATACTTTTAAACAAAAATAAAAAAAAAAACTCTGAGTTTAATTATTTAAAATCTGAAATACTCGTCGTGCATATACGCTTACGTAAGCGTATGTTGCAATAATGCATGCGTACGTAGTGTAACAACACGTTTCCGACACAAACAAAGATTTTTATCCGTGTGGTCGCGATATTTTACAGCTTCAATTATTGGTTTAATAATTCCAAAACAACAAAAAACATTGTTTAATATTAGAAAAAATCGTGAATGATTGTACTGATTCAGAATCCTAAGCTCGAACCAGGACAAGTAACATGTGTTTTATGTAGCATAATCTTATATACGTAGATAGTATACACACACACACATATATAAGCATTAAAACATAATATATATAAATATATATGCGATAAGGTACGTGTGATGGAGGTGTTAGGTAAGTATCGTGAAGAAATTTACATGTCGAAGAAGACTTGGAGTCTAGAATCGAAGCTCTCATCTGAGACTTGTTCCCAGAAGAATCTGAGCTGCTCCTTGTTGATTGAGTCTCCGGAGACATTATTCCGGCGAGCAAGTGCCCGGAAAAGCTGATCGGCGAAATCTTTCGACTCCTTATTCATCCCTGAAAAAGACGAGGAAAAAATGAGAAAATCAGCATCGGATAAGCAAAGAGATCGAAACTTTATGAACAAAATCCGTGTGGTACAGTAGATTTAGATTCTTGATCGTCTACCGAAATTCACGAGTTGGGAATGTAATTATCTTTGAGAAAAACGACGTAAAGATTTTGAGAAAAAATGGTTTTAATTATTACCAATGCATTCCCAGAACATGGACGAGGGGAGGAGGCCATTGGTCGGACCGGAGAGCTCGTCGAACCGCTTCTCGACGGCGGGCCACGTGGCCGTCTTGGTGGCAATGAACTTTAGACCCTTTAGAGCATGAGACGCGGCGGATCTCGTCCGGTCGAAACGCCGGCCGGCAGACGCGGTCGGGCGTTTGGAGAAAACGCGACGCAGCTCCCGAGAGGCGTGCTTGATTCGGGAAGACGTGCTACGGAGGAACCCGAGCGACGACGAGTTGTTGAGGCTCGTCTCTAGCGTTCGCTTCGTCAGGAGCGCGAGCTCGGGGTCCTCACTGCCGTCGCGGCCGCCAATCGCAGCATTTTGAACGCTGTGAACCGCGACTGCGTCGTCGCGGATGTCGAGAGTGATCTCAACGTACTCATCGTCCGCGACGCTGGCGCCGCTGCCGCTACCGCTCACGCTGACGCCGCTCACGCTGTGGCTCCTCTTCGGGAGGTCGGGAGCGAATCTGGCGTTTTTCTTGGACCCGCGTTTTCCGCCGCCCAGTGGGCCGCTAAACGCGGTTCTGTCGCTGGCGATGCTCTCGGTGTCGGAGTTGGTGTCGGAATAAGCTCCTCGTAGAATCCCCAGTTCGCGATGATGTTCTTCAGAAACTGAACTACTTGGTCTCATTTTCTAATAAATCCACTGGGAGAAAGAAAGCCTTTGTCTGATCGGAAAGCTTCTCACTTTCTCGGGAACCAAACAAGAGTCTCCCGAGAAAAAAAACCAACACAGCACAGTTTCTCCACTCTTGTGTCGTTTCAGTTTTCCCGAGAAACAAACAGCGTAACAAGAAAATCTCTCTCTCCCTCTCTCTTTCTCTCTCCTGTGGAAGAAATTGATTTCTTTTTGTAATATATATAGAGTTTTATCAATGGAGAGATATATAGTTCATAAAACGGGGAAGCTAGTAGGAAATTACAGGAAACCCCAGTCAAACCATTTTTCCTCTGACCGATTATTTTGACTTTAGATATTTTTAGTCCTTTTTTTTCTTAAATTTTATAATACCACTGTATATATGAACACACACATATATATATAATTTGTTTTCCAGTTGTTTATGTTATTTTTTTTCTTTTATCTAATGGAATTGTTGAGTTATAAAATTTAAAGAACCTCCAATATCAGATAATTAGTAATTTACACAGAATGGATCCTCTACTTTTGGTTGTATTCCAATTTTCTCTTTTGTTTAGCTAAATTTATATTAAAAAAAAACAATTCCCTAATAACTTTTGCTCGTTATTTGGCCATCGTTACGGAAATATTATTATATATGAAAATTTGATAGTAATAGACGATTACACTGTATATTATATACGTTGGTCCATGAACTTGGCTCTTAATAACGACACCAGTTATATATATTATAATCAAAAGCAGTAATTACATTGCGACGTAGGATACAAAATTAATTCAATCCAACTATATGATATTACATTATTTTTTTAATATTGACGCATCACCGCCCTTGGTCCAATTAGTTATATTTTTTTTTAATAGCATTCAGATTTCATTTCGGGCATAGACGGTCCACATTAAATTGTGCAAAATCAGAATCTTTGCTATCTATATCCGAACGTTTCTAAAATACAGTCTGGTTTGGTACCATATACGAATCTTTTTCAAAAAAGTGAACTGTACTAATGTAAAAAATATGAATTTAAATATAATTCGAAAAATATTAATGTTAAAATAAAATCTGCCGTGGATGAAACAAAAGCCTCTAGAAATTTTGTTGGGCTCTTTTGGATTAGTGGGATGTGTTAGTTATTTTAGAGTCTCAAAGGATTATTCACGTGTATTACAAGTGTGGTGGATGAGTAAAATGTTTGTAAAAGACGTGTCGTGAATTGGTTAAGTGTTAAGGATTAGTCGGAAGATATTGAAGGTAGCTCGTTTTTCCTATGAAACAAAACTGGAAAAAATGAGCGACCGCTCAAAAAATAGCGACCGCTCGGAAAATGAGCGACCGCTCAGGAAAATGAGCGGGTAGCTCATTTTTTCTGATGAACAAAACTGGAGAAAATGAGTGACAGCTCGGAAAATGAGCGACCGCTTGGAAAATGAGCGACCGGTCAGAAAAATGAGCGGGTAGCTCATTTTCTCTGATGAACAAAACTGGGGAAAATGAGCGACCGCTTGGAAAATGAGCGACCAGTTAGGAAAATGAGCGGGTCGCTCATTTTCTCTGATGAACAAAACTGGAAAATGAGCGACCGCTCGGAAAATGAGCGATCCGCCTGATTTTTCTGAGTTGTTCAAAATGAACGAAAAATCGTGTCTATTCGGGAAAAAAACTTCCGATTCTTTGCACCTTTTGACTTTTGGAGTGTTAAAAAACATTCCAAAACGTCTGGACAGATAGAGACGAAAATCTAATTGATTTTGAGATATTTATGAGCCTTGTTGGTGAAGAAACTTGCTACTTCTTCTCCATCTTTTACTGTTCATCTTCTTTCTCGGGTTTTTCTGTTTCGGACAACGTTTGAGGAGCAGATCAATCGTTGCTGATCTTCTTTGTATCTCTAAACGTATTCTCGAGTTTCTCCTTTGCTCGGTGGGGAGGGAATAACGTTTTAGGAAAGTGTTCTACACGCCTAGAAGATTATATCCAGGTTCTTACGTTTTTATTTCGATTTCATTGATTTGTTGTTCTTTCCCACTGTATCCAGACCCACATTTATATTTACAATCTAAAACGTTATCCCTTATTTCGGATACACGGGGAAGGGGGAATCGAATGACGGGTATGGGTTCTTCGGTGAGAGATCTAACTCTTGATTTTCACAAACTCGAGAAATTCGAGGGCGTGGCTTTCCGGCGGTGGCAAAAGAAGATGAAATTTCTTCTTACTACATTGCATGTGGCATATGTGATCAACACTCCACGACCGGAGGAGAATGAAGAGGAGACGCTTGCTCAAGCGCGCACGAGGAACAAGTGGGACAACGACAATTATGTGTGTTGCGGACACATATTCAACGGTATGTCCGATGCCCTTTTTGATGTGTATCAAAATATAGAGATTGCAAAAGAATTGTGGTCCAAATTGGAAGAAAAATACATGTCGGAAGACGCCTCGAGTAAGAGGTTTCTGGTAAGCGAGTTTAACGCTTACAAGATGGTGGACGCAAGACCGGTTATGGAGCAATTTCATGAGCTCCAGAGGATCTTGAGTAGTTTTACTCAACATGAGTTGAAAATGGATGAAACCATTATGGTTTCTTCCATTGTTGACAAGCTACCAC